CCCCAAAACCCCAAAACCCCAAAACCCCAAAACCCCAAAACCCCGTAATTATTTATTCACCTAGATTCTTAGCTATTAAGTTAAAAAGAAAAATGGATACTAAAATGCTATCACCAGAAGAAGTGCTCTATATTTCCAAACAAAAGTTGGAACTAGAGCTTTTGTCAAGGCTAAAGAAGCTAGACAGGAAGATCATGAACAGTTTAAATGGTTATTCTCATCTAAAAGATGCTGTCAAGGATGAACCAGAATCCAAGAGATTGAAGTACCAATCTGACTATTATGAAAACAAGAAGCTATTGAAATTTAGCAAAGGAGTTATATCTGCAAAATAATATCTTGTTTCAAGGAGACTGGATGAGAAGCAAGAAGAAAACATATCAGGTTTTCAGAGTTTTAGAAAATAGTCAGAGAAAAAGCTTATCTCTACATCCTCACTCTTCTGATCCATCTTTAACACATCATGCAAACTACAAGCTTTTTGAGAGATACATCTTACGTATCTCCTCCTCTGCACTAGAGGGACTTCACCTAGAGAAATTTAAAATACCAAAGAAACAGTTCGAAGTGTTGATGTTCCATTCAAGGAATTTTTCATGGCTAAAATTAGGTTCATGAAAAATAGAATCTGAAGGATGTTCTTTTTCTAATGTACCTAAATATAAACTGAAGTGTATTTCCTTTGAATACTCCGGCCATACTTCGAATAGCGATTGGCTTTCACACCCAAAAGGCCTAACTGATATTGTGTCTGCCATATCTAAGTGTAGCCTCAAAGAATCGCTGCAATTCCTTGACCTCTCGTGGAACCCTTACATTGAAGACCAACTGAGAGAGATCTTTGAGGAGCATGACATCACAGGATTAAAAGTATGCAGCGTGAACTTCCTTGGTGGAAAAAGGTTCTCGCTTAAATTATAGAATTAACGAATCTTCGGTTTGATCTCAAACCAAAAGCTTTCAATAAATGAATCAATAGTTGGGGTTTTGGGGTTTTGGGGTTTTGGGGTTTTGGGGTTTTGGGGTTTTGGGG